GGGGTCTCTTCCAACTCTATGATTCTATGATTCTATGATTCTATGACAACGCCACTATCTCACTCACTAATAGATAATGGCAATCAAACTCTCAAACTGGCACAAGTTTGGAATACAGTGAGCCTTTAGTATCCGCTGGGGGTTGGTTCCATTCCAAAATCTGCAAATGCTCAAGACCTATTATATACAGTGGGTTAGTAAAATGGACTTTCTCATATAAAATGGCAAAATCAAGGTTTGCTTTTTTGAACACACACACACATATGGGATATTTTTTAAGCTGTGGATAGTTGCTTTTGTTGGACTACCAAGTCCTCGGATCTCCTGGCCACCATAGCCATGCTGGCTGAAGGATTCTGAGATAGTCCAAAAGAAGGATAGTTTTGAAATGATGGGAAAAGTTGTAGTTTTTTTTAACACAAGCAAAGTCACTCTTAGAGCTAAGTGTCGTATAAATGAACTTGCAAGCATAACTGTTTGTGTGTCACTGTGTGTATTTTGGCTAGACACAGCGGTGAACAGGAACCTACTTCAGGTTCCTTTTTAAAGCAACATTTGACCTGGGGCGGGGTGGAGTTTGGGGATCAGTTTGTCGCAGGAGCAAGTGTCTTCTGGTTGAAGCGGTGCGTACTTGTGGTGGATCTCTTGCAGCAAGGAAAGGAAGTGTTGTCGGTTATAGTGACTTGGCATTTCCTGGACTGGTGTTCTCTTTTACACAAGAAGCATTGCATTCTGAAAGTAATGTTCTTGTTGTGTTGCTTTCTCTGAGTTTTCACAACTCTCTCCCCCCCCGGCTGATGTGGACAATTCCTAACCCATACCTCCCCAATCCTGAGCTTAGTCCTGAGTCTTTTTTCGTATGCATGGATGAGCTGCTCTCATTTCCGTAGCCCTCCTGCACAGGTTGATGACGATGGAGCGCTTGGGCAGTTCTTCGAAGTTCTGCACCTTGTCCTGCCAGGTAATCCTTTGCAAAATTACCTTTATGCATAACACCTGCTGAAAGTACCAGATGGGAAGTCTGCTCATCTCACTCTTGGTGTGGGGTTTAGTTGCAAGATGGAAGCATAGCAACGCACAAAGGAAATTAGCTTTATATGCCTTGGGTGCCTTTAATGAATGTTTGTCTTGCATTTCTGCACCGGTGTGGAATAGTCGTTTATATGCTAGATTAGGACCATGGGAAACAAGGATTTGAATCCCTACTTAGCCATGGAAACCCACTGAGTCTGAGAAGGTGGATATGTTTAGCTTGGGGAAGAGAAGTATAAGAGGTGACATGATAGCCGTGGTTAAGTATTTGAAGGGATGTCATATTGAGGATGGAGCAAGCTTGTTTTTTGCTGCTCCAGGGAACAAGACACGGAGCAATGGATTCAAACAATGCAGGAACATTAGGAGGAACTTGCTGACCGACAGTGGAAGATGCTGCCTCAGAGAGTGGTGGAGTCTCCTTCTTTGGAGGTCTTTAAACAGGCTGGATGGTCATATGTCACAGAGAGGGCTTTGATGGTGTATTCCTGCATGGCAGAATAGGGTTGGACTGGATTGCCTTTGGGTGCCCCATCCAACTCTAGTAATCTAGAATTCTGTGAGTGACCTTGGACAAGTCACTGTCTCTAAACCTAAGAGGAAGGCAATGCTAAATCTCCTATGAATAAATTTGAAGAGCCTGCTTGGTGTAGTGGAGTTGAGTGTTGGACTCTGGAACCAGAGTTCGAATCCTTGCTCAGCTATGGTTATGCAGATGGGGGGGATAAATTTATTATTATTATTATTATTATTATTATTCACACTCTCTGCGTCTAAGCGAAAGGCAATGCTCCTCCTCTCAATAAATCATGCTGAGAAAATTCTCCACCAGGATCACTCATGATTTCATTGGATCGATTTGAAGGCATATCGCAACAATAATTTCTGATCCATATATACTAAATGGTCAGACGTTTGAAGTTCTGTTTTTGAGGGTGGGGACCACAACCACCAATATCTTCCCAATCTGAAAGAGTCTGGGAATTGTAGTTAAAAAAGTAATGTTTCCAAGTTGTGGAAGTGGTCCAGAGGAACCATCATCTTTTCAACTCCATAGGTTTGCTCTGTTAAAGGCATTGTGTTAACCAAGTGGTGTGGTTGCCACACTGTAGATTCAGTCTGTGTCGAATGTACTTTGCACATGTTTAGAGATATACAGCTCAGATGTTCATTTCACTATTAAGCCCAGACTCAGGTTAATGGTTTGGCATCCCTCCTTCTATGAACCTGTGGAGTCCTGGGATTTGCAGTTTGGTGAAGCACTCTAGAGCAATCTGTCAGAGAAGTCTAAATACCCCACAAAACTACAAATGCGGGATTGCAATGGACTGAGCCATGGCAGTTAGTGGTATCAAAGTGCTGTATCTGTATTATATGAAAGAAACCCTGATATCTGTATGACCATTGTTGGATGAAGAAATCTTAACAGGCTGAATCTTGGAGCTCCTTTCTCTTGGATAATTGTTGAATTCCCTGGGCATACAAAAACTTTGTTAAAACATTCTTCTAAACCCTTGGTTTATTCTGACCGGCAGCAAGTCCCCAGGCACCTTCCGGATGCAAAACACCTACTCTGCCAATGAGTTGTGCATGGCCCCTCATCCATGACAATGTCTTGCTTGTGATGGGAAATCTCAATTGTGTTGCCCTTGTGGCAGTGAAAGCCTCTGAAAACCGAATGGGCTTGGCGTATGTTGAGAAACATCATTCTAGCTGCTTGGATAATGGAGACACCTGTATATTTGCAGCCCGGTTTATGTCGGTGGCAAGAGAGTTGTTGGTTTTGCAGGGATTAAAACTTTGCACGGAGCAGACTGAGGATTGCTGGCAAAACCCTGACAGTAGGGAAGGACTGTATTTGCCATATGAGCCTGCATACATTTTAGGATCTTTACGGGGAAGGCTTTCTGTTGGTGAGAACCAGTGTGGCATAGTGGTTTGAGTGTTGGACTGTGACGCCGGAGACCAGGGTTCGATTTCCAGCTCGGCCATGAAATCCATTCATTGGGTGATCTTGGGCAAGTCACACTCTCTCAGTCTCAGGGGAAGGCAACGGCAAACCACTTCTGAACAAATCTTGCCAAGACAACCCCATGAGAGGCTTGGCTTGGGGTCACCATAAATCAGAAACGACTTGAAGACACATGACGACAACAACCACTTTCTGTGGGTCCTACCATGATCAGAGAAATCCCAAGCTGCGGAATAATTCCCTCCCATGGAAAGCTCCTCTGGCCTCCTTTCATTGGCAAAATATTTTTCATTTAAATAGGATTTTGATAATTAACTGGCTGCTGCAGAAAGTTCTTTCAAATGGGAACCGCTTTACTGTGATTCTCATTGCTACAGTGCAAGTGCTTTTAAACTATTTCAGATTAGTTTACATTTAATTGGATAGTATGTATGGTATTTTTATACTCTTTTTATTGCAACAGTCATTTTAGTGGGCCCTTGGTATCCTCTGGGGTTTGGTTCCAGGACCC